ATGAAACGATACGACTCCTGGGGTAAATTGCAAACAGGATTAATAAAAAACATTTCTGAAACATTGTCAGCTATTCTATGAAAAGAAAAACAGCCTCATGGATAAACAAGCCCCCCACAGAGCATCGCCAAAGATCTGAGTCATGTAGGCAAACGCCACAACAGCTTTGTCTTCTTCACCCCTCACAAGAATGTGGTGATCCATTTATTTAAATGAGAAAACTTTCTGTTTTAATTCCTACTTCACTGGAGCTTTTCTGGCATTTACACTATATGGCATTTGGGAAAGGGGGAGCTGAGTCATGGCACCCCATTCAGGGACCCGGAGCTGCTCAGGGACACTCAAGCTGCTGTTGAGATTGGACCTGTGACCTTTCCTTTGCAGCAAATGCGTTTCTGACCACCGTGTCGTAATGCCCCCAATTAAATTTGCTTCCACAGATGGTTAGCACCCTTGTCGGTCTTAAACAAGCGTCAGTATGGCTTGTGATTCTAATGTGCATTTTAGTGTCAAAAACTGGCAATAACGACTACATGAATCGAGTTTTTGTCATATTCTATGTTCTGGTGTCAGAATTCATCAGAACATTTTAGGAAAACAGAAGAGTGAATTGAGTTTTTAGCCAAAAAAGGGAAGAGGAAAAAAAAAAAGAGTATAATTTAGGCTACAACTTAGCACGTTTTTATTTTTGATCACAATCCTAATTCTGGACTTTTAAACAAGAACAGAATTGACATTTTGACAAACATTTCAGTGACATCTGTGAACTCCTCTCCAACCCTTTTAACACCAACAGCAATCTTTGCAGAGCATTTCAACAGTTTTCTTCTGTTCAACCTGTTCTGCTTTTTAGGGCAAAAACCATTTTGCCATTATGTTAAAGCCTTTTAGCCAATACGAGATCCACAAAATGCCCTCTGGCATCTGTTGACTAATGCAGCTGCTGCATAAACAACTGGTTGAATTATTTAGTGTTTTACTTGTACATGCAGGAGGGTTTGTCCATACGAATAATTGGATAAGAGGTTAAAGAAGTTATGGCTTGCTTTAAAATCCAACTCTTCATTATTTACCCTGAATGTTTAAAACCGCCACTAAGTTTTGTAACAGGTAACTGTGTAATTCCACCAGATGTTCAGTTACACTGAAAATTAATTATGGTATTGACCAAAAATAAATTTATATTAAATTTCTTTTATGGTTAGAAGGGACAGAGTTATAGCTGTTTTGGTTAGACTTTTTTTATTTTTTTCATTCAACCTTTATTTATACAGGTTAATACCATTGAGCCGACTCATTTACAAGAGAGCCCTGATTTGATTTGATGGTGATTTTTGATTTTATGATCTAGTGAGAGCTTGAAAGACGTGTTAGCAATCAGACTATACTTTCTGCTATTGATGATTGCTTTTTGAGAGGTTCATTAAAATCTGTCCAGTGTTTTATGAGACGTACTAATAATAAAAAACAAAATAACACACACACAAACAAACAAAAAAACATAAATGTATTTTGGCCTTCAGCAGTAGTAGGCGTTAACGAGAGAAAACTGACATTGCATTAGCAACATATGTAATTTTTTCATAAGATCTAGACAAAACAAAACAAAATAATCATTCAGATCTTGGATCTTTAACTGTAGCAGATGTGAAAAGGACAAGGGAGGACCGTGCATCAAGGTCACATGATTTAATGAGCACATCAGTCTTATCAGGTGCTACAAAACAATATGCAAATCTGGCATGTCTGTACATTTCATCTGCTCTTTTGTTTAGCAGAAATTATTAAAATTTTCTCAAATCATTTGAGTTACACAGTTAGGAGTTACAGTATGTGTGTCAGAGGAGGAAACAAGGAAAAGGGGCTGGAAAAGACAGCAAATGTGTAGAGTTAGGAGGCACTCCAAACCTTTGATGGTACTGAGAGCCCTGCAGCCACGATGAAATCAAGACCGTCAGCTTCTTTGTTTCTAAAAGTCTGTTTCTTTCTACCCACAATACAATTAGCCTTACCAGAGTTTTCAAATGTAAGTAAAGATATTTCAGGGGTAAAACGAATAAGAAAAAGCTGACTATTGTCAAAAATATGTTTAGTTTCTCTACTAATGCAGTCTTCAGTTAATTTCAATGCCTTTCTTGTGTTTAAATCTCCCATTTTCTCATCATCAAATTGCAGTCAGGGCCATTTTGTAGCACTGCTCGTTCACCTTCCTTCCACGTCTGATATTATTAGACCACGGTGGTGGTGATAGATTAAAAAAGAGCCATGAAATTGTTTAAATTGTCCCAATGCAGGGACAAATTAAGCTCTATGATTAATTAGGGTGATGGTGGGATCCCTGCAGTGCTGTACAGATTTTTTATTCTTTTGTATTATTGACATTCACGACGTGAGTGTCAGTGGTTTAAAGGCTTGCACCTGTTACTGCGTCAAGCTGGAAAACAAAGACACAATTGTGCAAAAAATAAAAAAGCTTTTAAATCTCGCCCAGTCAATCTATAGGAAGGGAACACATCTTCAGGTGAAGCTAACCAGGAATTTGAAAATGCACTACATGTACAGTATTGCTGTTTATTAAAATAGCTCATATGCAACCAAAATGTCTAGAAATTCACATTTGAAGCCAATCAAATGATTCTACGGCACCCTGCTGATTTTTAAATATCAGGTTTTTCCTTTGGACCATTTGGATTTTTTTTTTTTTTTTTTTTTTTTTTGCAGGAGCTTTTACTTGTTTCATTAAAGATTTATGGAATTTGCAGCGGGCAGCACGGTGGCGCAACTGGTAGAGCTGCTGCCTCTCAGCGAGCAGGTCCCTGGTTCAAACCCCGGTCCAGGGGCCTTTCTGGGTGGAGTTTGCATGTTCTCTCCGTGCATGCGTGGGTTTTCTCCGGGTACTCCGGTTTCCTCCCACAGACCAAAAACATGCATGTTAGGCTGATTGGTAACTCTAAATTGTCCCTAGGTGTGAGTGAGAGAGTGAATGGTTGTTTGTCTCGTTTGTCTCTATGTGGTCCTGTGATGGACTTGCGACCCGTCCAGGGTGTACCCCGCCCCTCGCACAGTGATTGCTGGACATGGGCACCAGCGACCCCCGTGACCCAAAATGGAATAAGCAGGTAAAGAAAATGGATGGATGGATGGAATTTGCAGCTTTTAGTAAGTTATTTTTCAGGTTGGAGGTGAACCACATACTTACCCATGAGGAGGAGGAGCTGTGAATGATGGAGAGTTTGTAAAATGCCCCTCAAACAACTGGATGCAGAGAGAAAATTGAAAGCAATTCACACAGGTTCACCCAAATGTCAGGCATGATTAAAATAGACTAAGTCTTTTCAGGTAGATGCCTTCAGGAAGCAAATAGGCTTGAAAACTCAAGCTCCAAAACTGGCAGACCGTTAGGAAAGAGAAAAATTGATTAGTTATTTTTGTCTTTTGCCAGCTATCTAAAAAAAAAAAAAAAAAACAACAACAACACACACTTTGATTTGTGATATATTATATGCACATATCAAAAATAATTCAACAGAAGAAAGAATAACTAAGAAAAGTTTAAACGTAATTAAATGTTTTGCATTATTTGATGGAATGCATATCACAAAAATAAAACAAAAAAATAAGTCTGGTGGCCGTAGGGAGCAGGACAAAACCCTTTTTTGTTTGTTATTTCAATATTGAATGATATATCACTCTCCAGTCTGTAAACTTTTAGATTGTTTGACTGTGTAAAGTGTTTCTTAAATTCACTTGCGTTACGCTATCCATTACAACTACTGAGACCAACACTGTGACGTCTTCTCAGAGGTGATTAGTGTTTCTATGAGCACAGACACCTAATCTGATTCCTCTCAGTGTCTCAGAGCAGCTTTAAGAGCTTTGATGATGTAAGAGTCTAATTACAGCGACTCCTTTTGGATTTATCAATGGACTGATGGAGAGAAACAAAACACATTAAAGTCTGTGTGGTGGCTGCTCTGACGCTCACCTTCTTTTTGAGCCAAATCGAAAAAACATATTTCAAGCTGCAAATGTGCCACTGGGCATAATAACGCGTCAACACCTAATTTATTTTCAGGTTTGAGAATATTTCTAAATAATGTAAGGACATTTTGCCACGAAAAACGAAAAAATATTTTAGTCTGTTTGGTTTATAGTGTTTGAGAACAACAACAAAAAAGAAAGTGCAGGCAAATAGTTACCTTTTTTGTTATTTATGTATTTGTTTTAGTCAACTTCTTCACACACCCTGCAAAGTTTAATTCAAAGCTAACAAAAACTTGACATATATATATTTTTTTGCAGGTTGTATCTGTTGACAGAGAAGACATGTGACGTGGTTAAAAGGCCTGGAAAAAAAAAAAGAGTCATGAACTCAAATTGCCTTTTAAATTGAGAAGGCTTTTTAGTCTCTACAGAGGGCGAAGTAAGGTGGACGTTTGTGCCTGCTTCCTAAAAAATGTTGAATTTAATTAATTCTGGATGCTGCTGAGCTGCTTTTTTGCCAGTACCAACAGGATGTTGCTGCCTCTGGCATTTAGAGGTGGAAGAAAGTCTCAGAAATTTTGTTTGTCTGCGATGCTATGGAAACATTCCTTGTAATTGCTTTAGTATCAGTCCATTCTTGCCTAAAAACATCAAGTCCTGTCTTATATCCGTTCCTGAACTTCAGGCAGGTCTCCTCCCATAAGCTCCTGGTCCAACTCCTGGTGCCTTCACTGCACTTTTGTATTAACCTTTTCCTGTTTGAGCAGTCGATTATAAATAAAACATTTATTAGCATTACTGCGATACTTTTAGTAGATGTTCATTTTAACAATGGAGTTATAAAGTGCAGCTACATGTTTTTTTGTTGTTGTTGTTGTTGCTCAACATACTCAGCGCAGTAAGTGTAATATATCCCAGCCATCCAGTGGTCCGTGAACGCAGCTCGACGCTGCCATGTTGTTGTTTAATCGTCGGAGTTTCCAGCGGCTGTCGGTGTCCTCGGACCAAGCGGTGAGTTTCTGAAGGAGAGTTGCAGCTTTTCGATATTATCTGGGACACAGCTGAACTTCAAGACGCAGTAGAAGTTACCATACATCAAGAGCTACCGTCAGGTGTGTAGTTTTATTCGTTTTCAAAGTTGTATCTGTTGATACTTTTTGCTGATTGGCTAACGCTCGTTTTGTGGGTTTGAGCTCCTCTGCTTTCCTCATTCATGCGTAACGGCGTGCAAAAGTGCGCCTCGTGATTTTAGTTTTTTAGTTTTTTTTTATTAAAACACATCCAGTTTTAAAATAAGCATCTGTTTTATGTACGGTCAAACAGAATAAGAAGAACAAAGTTGTGTTCGGTTGAGAAGAAACTGATATGTTTTGAAGCTAACATCTTAGCTAGCTGGCTAACTACTTTGCTAACTTGGTCGAGGAGTTCATAAAAGTGATTTTAACTTTTGAGTTTTGTCTCGGGAAGTTGTGGTAACTTCATGTCTCGCTTCTGCTGCGCTGGTTGGACGAAATGATTGTGCTGGTTTATTCCCAGCAGCATGGCGGCTCCATTTATTAAGAAGTTTATTTTTTTAAGTAATGCAGTCTGTAAATCATGCACTGCAAAGTTATGGCTTAAAAAATTAGACCATCATTACACATTTGTGGATTTGAAATGTGTGAAACTTAATATAAATATATATATATATATATATTTTTTTTTTTATAAAGAGAGAGATATATAGATATAGATAGATGGATAGATAAACTACATTAAGTGCAAAAAAACACCATATACATATTGTGCAATGTAGCATCTCTGCACCCAAAGATGTAGACATGTCAAACTTCCCTTTATTTATATATATATATATATATATATTTTTTTTTTTTTCATTTAGCCTTTATTTATACAGGTTAGTCTCATTGAGCCACATATATAATATATATGTTCTGTCTGGATGCACTAAGCTAATTGTTTTTTAGTTGGCACACCCATATTTCGAGGCTGGATTTTCCTGCCAAAATAAAGAATACATTTAAAAGTACAAAGTTTAAAAATGTATACTTAATGACATCAGCTGAAGCCTTTTGGCAATGTTTTGCATTTTTATTTTGATATTGACACTGTTTAAATGCATGTTATTATTTCTGTCTGCTTTCTGCATTTTTTACCCCTTTGATTTTTATTTTTATGACTTCGATATACTTTATTGAAGCATTACTTTGTCATTGGTGAGGGGATCTGTGTTTCATGGCAAGTCAAACAGAAGTGCACACTGTTGCAACAGAGCCACACTAGCTGCCAGTGATGTTGGAGAAGGAAGTGACTTTAACTTGTGGTCAACAATGTCCTTAAAGTGATGCTTTTTTTTTCTCCTCCCATTTTTATCATGACAGTTGCTTTGTCTTTATTATATGTTTGTTTTTTTTTTTTTACATCATCCAAATTTTGAATGGCGTTTTTTGTTCGGTACTCATTTTCTAATAAAAAATAAATAAACAACCTCACTTTCTGATAAACATACAAATATCAAACTATCAAATATCAAAACTGATAAAAGATCAAAACTGGATTGTTAAATATATATATGAAGTAGCTTAGTGTGTTTTTTGTATTAGAATTAGAAAAATTAGAGTTATTCATTTTGTTCTGTTACTTGAAAATTATTATGATTGAAATAATTGTTTGAAAAAATGGGCAGATATAATAATATTTTTTCTTCTTTCTGCTGCCTTTCATTTTAAATCTTTTGTATCTTTTTTTTATATTGTTATGGAATTGTTTTGTACTTTTTTAAAATGAATAAACTTTATACCATACCAACAATAAATATTGAAACTACTAAAATCTACCAGTTAGATGGTCTTTGCAAGGTCTTGGGCGTGTATTTGCTCTTCATTAAATGTTTTAACCACGTACAAAACTTCTGTTGGCATGTTGTGGTGGTTTATCGTTGTGGGGACTGTGTATTTGGGTCCAAGGTGGAGTGTTAAAAGTATGGTGATAGCGATGGGAGTGCACCCATGATCCCGCGCACACTGACATTTATTGGTAATTGACAGTTTAATGCAGGATTGGCTAAGCAGGATGCCTGATCTACGACTGTGATTGTGGGAAAAATATCTTAGAAGCAATCAAGTGCAGATGTGACACCTGTGGTAGTACAGTAGTCCCTCATTTATCGCTGGGGTTCCGTACTCAGCGATAAGTGAAAAACTGAAGTAGGGATACAGAAGTTCAAGTACTGGAAACTTTATTTTAAGGCTTTAGAAACTCTTACCACACTCTTGCAATGTTCTAAATTCTTAAACCTACAAATTTTAACAATATATGTAGCTACTAAATTTTACTTGCTATCTCTGCAGAACAACAGTGGCTCTTGTTCCGGTCCAATTCTGTTCTATTCTGACTTGGTTAGTTTCTGGTGACCTATCCTGCAGCAGTGAAGCCCTTAAATCTACTAATTTTAACAACAATCTACATATAAGTATATATAGCTACTAAATTTTACTTAACAGGCTCTGCAGAACAGGAACGGTTCGGTTCCAGTCTGACCCGATAGATGAAAAAAGTCCGGTGCAGCATGACTGAAGTCCACCGCCCCATCCAGCTTGATGTGCACATGCTGTCGCTCCACGAGCAAAGCTGCCAAGGATTTAGTCCACCACCTCTGGCCCGGTCCGGACCAGCACTGCGCTCCCAGGATCCAGGTCACACTCAGTCCAGATCAGCTGCAGCCCACCTACTCAGCAGTGAAGATACAACTTGAAGGATGAGTTCAGCTTTAGAATTATTTGAGACTTTTCTGCCAGTTCTGTGCACTGATCCTTACAGAACTTAGGACTTTGCGTTGCAAAACTTTCCCTCCATTTGCAGAAATAGTGGTTGAAAGCAGTGTTGACTTCTGGGAAGTGAACTGATGGCTTCTGGGTAACCTAGTTCTTTAGACTGGAAAAACAGTGAAGGCTTAATGGGAGGAAAAAAAACCTACAAAATGGCTGCGCATTTTTACCTTTTTATTTTATTTTTTATTTTGGGGAAAATATGTATATACATGTACATAAACCACGATAGAGTGAGTCTGTGAAAGTCCAACCGCGAAGTAATGAGGGACTACTGTACCATCAGGTATAGCAGTGGTACTCAATCCTGGTCCTTAAGGGCCACTATCTTCTGTTTTAGTCGTTTCCCTGCCCTTCTTGAGCAGGTGCTGAAGTTATACAGTATCCTGCTAATCTTTTATTCGTTCAAATTAGGTGTGTCCAATCAGAGAAACATCTGAGGTTAAATCTAACAAGGTTGAGTCAGGTCCTCTATAGACAAATTCTTTGTTGATACATTTAGTCTTTTATCCAAAAAAAATCTTCTTCAGTTTGAGGCGCTGCAACAAACCCAGTCTGGGTTATGTGCCTATGCAGTTAAGTTTGGTCATCGTTGTGATGTGGTGCATTTCTTTCATGACTCACTTTGCAGCATGATCTTTTTCATTTGCATATTGATAAAGGAATGCACGTGGTAGTGTTGAAAGTAGTCAAAGAATAGTTCAAAGAATACAACACTATGGAAACGACAATAAAAAGAAAATTACAGTATATTAAAAAATTATAAAAATAATTTTTTTAATGTGGCTTTAATAATAATGCACTTAAAATACACTGAAAATTCTAAAAAAAAATAAAAAAAAAAAGGGGGAGAAAATGCACTTGTTGAACTAAATTTTATTTCCATATTATTTCAATTTTAGCAGTGTTTATTCTGAAACAAGACAAACTGTTTGTCTAGGAAACAGTGCAAACACTGGTAGTTTTAATAGTTTATTTTATTTTATTGCCTCATGGGCACCAGTGAACCCCAGGACCTGAAAGAGGATGAAGCAGGTAACTAATGGATGGATGGATGTTTTGTTTGCAGAACTGCAAACAGAAGGAGCTAAATATATCTCTAAAGCACTGATTGACAGACAGATTTACAAAGTATTATCTGAGTTTTATGATATATTTTCTGGTGGAAGTCCAGATTGATCAATTTCTGTAGTGCAGAATAACTGCTTATCATAATGGATGTCATTTAAAATTAGATGTGGAATTATATTAAATAAAAAGTCTTTATTGAAATTTCATATTTTATAGTCTTATAATTAATTTGTTTCAGTATTTTACAGAACACCTTGGCTGGAGGAAATTTGCACAGGAAATGTGGTGCGAGATAAAACTTTACAATGTCTGAAACATTTTTACATTGTCCAACAATTTTCAGTCAGGTCATGACTGAAAATTGTTGGATTGTATACCTGGATTATTGAGCATGGACTTTTTTGATTTTTACTTTGTGTTCCATGCGGTATTAGTTCTTTGTGGGGGGGGGTAATTGGGTCATGTACAACATGAGATATCTTCTGTGTGGCCGCTGTACTTGGTGATGGCTTCATTTTCATTTAAACTCTAACTGAAAATGAATTGGTGACTTTTTACACAGTACTTGCCACCTTATTAGGATTTGACTTGTGACCTTTCTAAGTAATGAGATAAAAAAAAAAAAAAATACCCACTTATACAGCAGAAAAGGAAACCTACTGGTGTAGGAGTTTGTACTTGTAGATGATTGACTGTTATCACTTGGCCTGTATATTAGAGGTTATTTTTCACATATTTCTTGATAACTTTTTTAATTTGGATATATTCCTAAATCAAGAATCAGTCATTCACATCACATGTGGTACATGATGTGCAAAGAAACTAGTTGCTCAGGTCCTGGTTAAGCATGGCAGGGAAAATAATACAATCTTTGTAAAATAAAGTGCAATCATAAATTTTTAGAAAATTAACAAATAAAGATTGCAATGGAAGCAGCTATCAATGAGATGGTTTTGTGACTCCCAGGAATGTGACAGAGCCCCACTATAGTTCAACAGATTTTTAGGGTAGAAGCTGTTCCTCAATCTCCTTGTTCTGCTCCTGATGCTGTATTTTTCTCCTGAGGAGGAGAGTGAAAATGGTGTGTGCATGCATGGTGGGTGGAGTCCCTCATGATGCAGGTGGCCCATTTCCCTGGGGGTAGCCAGTGCCAAGGGTGAGGTAAGTGTGATCCACAGAGGAGATGGCATCCTCTGTGGACTGTTTTTTTTTTG